TTGCAATACTTTGGCTCCCATTTCTTCATAGCATTGATTCAGTTCTTCAAGTATTGAATCGAATATTTCCCGTCAATAGAGGAATATATGAGGTTTTGATATGATTTGAACCAATTGTGCACTTTTTTCTGACCATTGGTTTACTTTAGGACAAAGTCTCTAATTTTTGGTACTCGTTGTCTATTGTCTTCAAACTGAAGAGGTTTTTTACTGATTCAACGCTCGCAAAGATTAGGTATTAATACAATTGAGTTGTTGTGTCCCTTCAATGTGTAATTGATATCATATTTAATATTTGTTTTACTAAATTAATTATATAATGATTTGGTGGTCAGCGCTGTTACCACTCTATTGGCGACCATTCCTTCAAGTTTTATGTTATACCGAAACCCAACGCTTTTGAATCTAAAATACGCTCTGGTATTCAACTTTAACTCGATCTCAAAATTGGTTTATTTAATAAAATGGTTTATTTTTCAGATAAACTCGTCGTTAATCTTCTTTTTATTCTCATTTCAAGTCCACGAAAAGTCCATTTTAATGGCTTCGATGTATGAATCGATTTATTAATTATTACCGGTTTATAAATGAAAGTATTTTATTTGTTAAATAGTTGTGTTTTACTCGTAATGGACAAACACCCGCTCTGTTGCCTCTGGTTTGTTGTCATCTCAACGTTCAGGTGCTTAAGATATTTGAACGATAATTGTTTTTAATGTAATGATGAGTAACGCAGGGGTACTGAAAATAGTGATCGTGATAACTATGCTTTGGAGTCTTTGGCTCAAAGTGTGATATAACGCGTTTCTGAACATTAAGTCAATTACTATTTGTATTTAAACTAATTTTACATTCAATATATTAACCAATTGTTTTGGTCTTAGTTTACAACCACTTCTAATAAAAGACGGTCTAATGTTTCCATACTTTTCACTCATAACATTAAGTCAATTACTATTTGTATTGAAACTAATTTTACATTCAATATATTAACCAATTGTTTTGGTCTTAGTTTACAACCACTTCTAATAAAAGACGGTCTAATGTTTCCATACTTTTCACTCATAATATTCTTCATTTGTGTCTTTACTAACGCTTTCGGAGACTTTGAAATCTGGAACCCTATCTCTTGGAGAGAGAAAGTTATCATTTTTAGTGTAAGCATTAGTTTGTTATAAGTTATAACAGTATTAGCACTGAATTTATAATAATTTGTGTCATTTATATCAACAGTTTATTTCTTCAATAATTGGAAGTTTGGTATTAAGTATCGGTTCGCTGACAGTAGAGGCGCCTAAAAAGTTGCCAGATATTCACTCTGTGCTCAACTGTTTATACAGTTTTGTACATTTTATAGTATTTATGGTATACTTTCATCAATTACAATACGAAGTCTATAAGATTGTGATCCCAAATACCAAAACTTTCTACACCAACATTAAGAAACGAAAATGATCTCAATTTTGATTTAATATATCAATACAATTAAATGGACTTAATTTAATATTAGGGTTTGAAACGCAATGATTGGAAACGTTGTTTTTCTAGCATTCAATTGTCACCAAAAGCTTTGTTAATGTTTTGAAGTCAATAGTTTGAAGACAGAAAATGTATTGAATTGAGTCACGCATTGATTAGAAAGCATTTTGTAATATATTATGCATTTCTGATGTGATATTTTATTCTCATTAATGTTTTTAAAACTATAGATATCTAGTCTTTCGGATAAAACAATCAAATGTGCCTTTAATTCATAATTAACTCTAATATAATTGCATTAAAATTTGGATTTTTGGTCAAAATGTTTGCTTTTTATTATATTTACAAATGTATTGTTCCGTTGTATTGGTTCTGATCTGTTGTTTAAAATTTTAATTTTAAATACTATTTACGAAAAGGTTTTATGTAAAAGTGAACAAATCGAATATTATAAATTAACCAAGTATTGACTAATAATAATTTATGGTACAGAATATCTTAGTTCTTACAAGATTTCTTGTTAGAAAATATTGAACTACTATTTATTAAAGCTATTTAGATTTGATGAAAGCATTTGATTCAATAATAATTCAATTATCAATGAGTCAATGAATATGTTTTTAATGTTGGTTTCATGTGTTTCATTCACATTCACATTGTAATGATTATTAAGTGGAAATGCAAGCATTTAGTTAAACGACAGTTTAATAATAAGTGAATGATTGTATAATTGCTTCATTCATTGTTTCCAACAGTTATTCACTCAATATATTAAAATCAAATATAATATAATCTTTATTTATTACGAGTCAAACAACTCTTCTGTAAATTATTCAACAAAATTGAGTGATATTTCAAAAAAGTATATTAAAATAATAGTAAACTCAATGATTCGTAATTAAATGGTTAATAACCAAACATTGAAGCCGTTAACTCATTAAGTCATCGATTTATTAAAATCAATTTTGATTATAAATTTGTATCAAATTTTCGATCCTTTTATTTGTATTATTTGTAGCCAAACGTGAAATCGTTTCATTCATTTCCAAAACTAAACTTTCTATAATTTAATTAAAAAACATGTTTTAAAGTAGAAATATAAACGAGAATTTGAATATTGTACAAAAGTAACATAAGTGGTACAATGAGTAAAACATATGGCAAACAAATGAATACCTGGACTACCTTTGGTGATGAGTTGTTTGGCAAATATAAACAAGGTTAAACTCGATATAACGATTCGTTCGTTCGACACATTCTTTGACAGACATTTTGGAACTACTGCTGCTGTCGTCACTGGAACTATCGGACGCAACGCCAGTGCTTTCACTCAAATCGACTCTCTCGGCGACGGCCGCTATTTCTGGGAACTTCTCTTTCAGCACTGAAAGCCATTTTCGAGACAATTTAGGTCTCCCTCTGACTGTCTTATGCCAAACCACAGGAAAGTTTGTTAGACTGCAAAAGTTTTGTGTGACAGCTATGGTGTCGGACAGATTGATGACCACATGCCACCACCCGCTCGGGACGAACACTGTTTCGCCAGCTTTTTGTAAGATTTCCAACGGTTTGAACTCTTGAGGCCAATCGGGAGACTTAGTCTTCGGGTAAATCACATTAAACCAAGTGATGGCCTCATCGCTCTGTCGGCCGCCTTCGCTCGGCTTTACTTTAATGAGTTCGCGGGGAGTATTGGTCGGGAAAAGACACCACCGTTTGTAGCCAACAATGAGCGCATTCCAGGCACTTGTGCCCAACGGGTCGATATGAATGCCAGTGCCCGACCGTTCGGGTCCCATAACAAACCAGCGATAAGGCGGGCGCTTCTCTTCGCCCGCGTATTGAAACAAATCGTCGCTAANTGTGCCCAACGGGTCGATATGAATGCCAGTGCCCGACCGTTCGGGTCCCATAACAAACCAGCGATAAGGCGGGCGCTTCTCTTCGCCCGCGTATTGAAACAAATCGTCGCTAAAATACTCGGGAATCGTGTAGTCGTCTAACAGTTTCTTCTTTCGGCAGTGCTTTTCAATCAATCAAAACAAATGACATTAAAAATCAAATAAAAATCAACACTTGATTGAACACCAATTCATTGATTACTTCTCCATAATTGCTGTCAAATATATAGAGCGGAGAGTCGTCTGAATTGTTTCGCATATAATAAACAAAATATTTCATCTTTAGTTTCACGGAATATCCCTCATTGTCTTCACCGCATTTGAACTTTTGGTTCCTATACTTCTTCGCCAACCGCTAACAAAGACAGCACATCCCATGAGTGACACAACAGTTGTGTGACATTTCAAAGACATACCGAAAGAGTCCACTTATGACAAGCCCTCCACTGGTCGGAGGCACCGGTGATGACGACCGGACGGTACAGCTTCTCGTACTTCTCGACAAACTGTTCGGGTCTGACATCTCTCGTGTCAATCCTCTCCACATTGTCTTCAAACGCATTGACCGACAAATCAAACGTTTGACTCAATTTGTTTGCTGTCCACGAATTACAGTCCGTCAGCTCTGATGGCAACACATAAGACAATCAATGGTTACAATCATTGCATCAAATGCTACGCAAATATCAATGTGTGTCTCAAACCGGGTCTGGCCTTCAGTTTGGCGTCAATTATCTTCCTCTTCGCCCGCAATTCGTCGCCCTCTTCGAGCGCTTCCATCGATTCCCTGTCCTTCTCTTCCATTCACTTGTAGTACAAAACAATTTGTATGAAAATCACTATTAATTAAATCAAAATTAACTTAAAATCAATTGAATTAAGAAATGAAAAGCACTTTAGATTTCATCACTCGTTGTCAACACGTATTGACTCGTATTTGTCAACAATTACTCATTCATTCATAACTAACGCCACAAACACTACAATCAAAGTCTCAAACCGACACTTCTGTTCACACAATCGATTCACACCGAGTGAGTGCCCCTTCAGTTCATATATGCACTTCTCTGCAGAACTTACTCTATTGTTGAATGAATACAAATTTGGTGTAAAGCAGTGAAAGCAATGTCGCAGTCATTTACAAGTGAACGATGGATGTGAATAAATGTGAGCGCCGTATGAGTGGTGCAAACAAACTGTTATTATAGTTAACGTTAAAAATAGGGTTCAATAAAGAAATGAGTTTTTGTTTGAACCAAACGTTTGCCACAAATAAGAGACAAATCACTGAAAAAATGCTTTATTTTAATATTTAATTCACAATTAAATAACCAAATGATTGGCAAATGAATGAGTGTTTAGTGTGAAGAAGTGTTTGGGAAGCGATGCCAATGACAGACAATGTGTGGTATTTCGGCAATTTGTTGGCCGTATTGTTGCGCTGGACTTGCGGTCAGTTCCCGCACTCGGGAGCGGCCACTCCTCCCATGTTTGGCGACTATGAGGCGCAAAGACATTGGATGGAAGTGACCGTCAATCTGGAGCCCAACCACTGGTACACCAACACCACCGACAATGACCTCCTCTACTGGGGCTTAGATTATCCGCCACTCACTGCATATCACAGCTATTTTAACGGCAAAATGTGTGTCCATTGGATCCATTGGATTCACTTAATTGTCTCTCTTTTTCATTAACCAAATTATGTTTTATATATTTAGCGCTCAATATCTGAATCCTTTGTGGACACAATTGCATACATCCAGAGGTTTTGAGAGCTATTATCACAAGCTCTTCATGAGATCGTCAGGTATTCACGACATGAATATAACTGATGTTTAAATGACTTCTTAACTGTTTTTGTCTTGTCTTTAGTCTTATTTGTGGATCTATTGATATATTTCTCTTCGATATACAATTATTGGTCCATTTGTTTGAAACCTGATTTCAAACCACGAGATAAAGCGGTTAATTGTGTGATAAGTCTTATAAATCCGGCGCTTATTCTTATAGATTACGGACACTTCCAGTTGAGTACCACTTAATAATAGTTAACTATTGGCCACATATTAAATGAGCATTTTGTTGACGACAGGTATAACTGCGTGTCTTTAGGTCTTGTAATTTGGACATTGAATTGTCTGATGAGAGGACACGACTTTTGGGCCGCAATTCTACTTAATGTTCAGAAACGCGTTATATCACACTTTGAGCCAAAGACTCCAAAGCATAGTTATCACGATCACTATTTTCAGTACCCCTGCGTTACTCATCATTACATTAAAAACAATTATCGTTCAAATTTCTTAAGCACCTGAACGTTGAGATGACAACAAACCAGAGGCAACAGAGCGGGTGTTTGTCCATTACGAGTAAAACACAACTATTTAACAAATAAAATACTTTCATTTATATACCGGTAATAATTAATAAATCAATTCATACATCGAAGCCATTAAAATGGACTTTTCGTGGACTTGAAATGAGAATAAAAAGAAGATTAACGACGAGTTTATCTGAAAAATAAACCATTTTATGAAATAAACTAATTTTGAGATCGAGTTAAAGTGTAATACCAGAGCGTATTTTAGATTCAAAAGCGTTGGGTTTCGGTATAACATAAAACTTGAAGGAATGGTCGCCAATAGAGTGGTAACAGCGCTGATCACCAAATCATTATATAATTAATTTAGTAAAACAAATATTAAATATGATATCAATTACACATTGAAGGGACGCATCAATTCAATTGTATTAATACCTGATCTTTGCGAGCGTTGAATCAGTAAAAAACCTCTTCAGTTTGAAGACAATAGACAACGAGTACCAAAAATTAGAGACTTTGTCCTAAAATAAACCAATGGTCAGAAAAAGTGCACAATTGGTTCAAATCATATCAAAACCTCATATATTCCTCTATTGACGGGAAATATTCGATTCAATACTTGAAGAACTGAATCAATGCTATGAAGAAATGGGAGCCAAAGTATTGCAAATGTTATGATTACCGCACAAGAAATGGACACAAATTTGATCAACGATTTGAGTCGACTTTCTTGTCGAAAACAACGGCTCAATAAATACCAAAATATAGGAAAAGCATAATAAAGAGTCATTTGTTTATAATTAAGCGCTAATGAGAAGAGAATTGCGGCCCAAAAGTCGTGTCCTCTCATCAGACAATTCAATGTCCAAATTACAAGACCTAAAGACACGCAGTTATACCTGTCGTCAACAAAATGCTCATTTAATATGTGGCCAATAGTTAACTAGTATTAAGTAGTACTCAACTGGAAGTGTCCGTAATCTATAAGAATAAGCGCCGGATTTATAAGACTTATCACACAATTAACCGCTTTATCTCGTGGTTTAAAATCAGGTTTCAAACAAATGGACCAATAATTGTATATCGAAGAGAAATATATCAATAGATCCACAAATAAGACTAAAGACAAGACAAAAACAGTTAAGAAGTCATTCAAACATCAGTTACTGTATATTCATGTCGTGAATACCTGACGATCTCATGAAGAGCTTATGATAATAGCTTTCAAAACCTCTGGATGTATGCAATTGTGTCCACAAAGGATTCAGATATTGAGCGCTAAATATATAAAACATAATTTGGTTAATAAAAAAGAGAGACAATTAAGTGAATCCAATGGATCCAATGGACACACATTTTGCCGTTAAAATAGCTGTGATATGCAGTGAGTGGCGGATAATCTAAGCCCCAGTAGAGGAGGTCATTGTCGGTGGTATTGGTGTACCAGTGGTTGGGCTGCAGATTGACGGTCACTTCCATCCAATGTCTTTGGGCCTCGTAGTCGCCAAACATGGGAGGAGTGGCCGCTCCCGAGTGCGGGAACTGACCGCAAGTCCAGCGCAACAATACGGCCAACAAATTGCCGAAATACCACACATTGTCTGTCATTGGCATCGCTTCCCAAACACTTCTTCACACTAAACACTCATTCATTTGCCAATCATTTGGTTATTTAATTGTGAATTAAATATTAAAATAAAGCATTTTTTCAGTGATTTGTCTCTTATTTGTGGCAAACGTTTGGTTCAAACAAAAACTCATTTCTCTATTGAACCCTATTTTTAACGTTAACTATAATAACAGTTTGTTTGCGCCACTCATACGGCGTTCACATTTGTTCACATCCATCGTTTACTTGTAAATGACTGCGACATTGCTTTCACTGCTTTACACCAAATTCGTATTCATTCAACGATAGGGTAAGTTGTGCAGAGAAGTGCATATATGAACTGAAGGGGCACTCACTCGGTGTGAATCGATTGTGTAAACAGAAGTGTATGTTTGAGACTTTGATTGTAGTGTTTGTGGCGTTAGTTATGAATGAATGAGTAATTGTTGACAAATAGGAGTCAATACGTGTTGACAACGAGTGATGAAATCTAAAGTGCTTTTCATTTCTTAATTCAATTGATTTTAAGTTAATTTTGATTTAATTAATAGTGATTTTCATACAAATTGTTTTGTACTGAAAGTGAATGGAAGAGAAGGACAGGGAATCGATGGAAGCGCTCGAAGAGAGCGACGAATTGCGGGCGAAGAGGAAGATAATTGACGCCAAACTGAAGGCCAGACCCGGTTTGAGACACACATTGATATTTGCTTAGCATTTGATGCAATGATTGTAACCATTGATTGTCTTATGTGTTGCGCTCAGAGCTGACGGACTGTAATTCGTGGACAGCAAACAAATTGAGTCAAACGTTTGATTTGTCGGTCAATGCCTTTGAAGACAATGTGGAGAGGATTGACACGAGAGATGTCAGACCCGAACAGTTCGTCGAGAAGTACGAGAAGCTGTACCGTCCGGTCGTCATCACCGGTGCCTCCGACCAGTGGAGGGCTTGTCATAAGTGGACTCTTTCGGTATGTCTTTGAAATGTCACACAACTGTTTGGGTGTGTATTGTGTCACTCATGGGATGTATGTCTTTGATAGCGGTTGGCGAAGAAGTATAGGAACCAAAAGTTCAAATGCGGTGAAGACAATGAGGGATATTCTGTGAAACTAAAGATGAAATATTTTGTTTATTATATGCGAAACAATTCAGACGACTCTCCGCTCTATATATTTGACAGCAATTATGGAGAAGTAATCAATGAATTGGTGTTCAATCAAGTGTTGATTTTTATTTGATTTTTAATGTCATTTGTTTTGATTGATTGAAAAGCACTGCCGAAAGAAGAAACTGTTAGACGACTACACGATTCCCGAGTATTTTAGCGACGATTTGTTTCAATACGCGGGCGAAGAGAAGCGCCCGCCTTATCGCTGGTTTGTTATGGGACCCGAACGGTCGGGCACTGGCATTCATATCGACCCGTTGGGCACAAGTGCCTGGAATGCACTCATTGTTGGCTACAAACGGTGGTGTCTTTTCCCGACCAATACTCCCCGCGAACTCATTAAAGTAAAACCGAGCGAAGGCGGCCGACAGAGCGATGAGGCCATCACTTGGTTTAATGTGATTTACCCGAAGACTAAGTCTCCCGATTGGCCCCAAGAGTTCAAACCGTTGGAAATCTTACAAAAAGCTGGCGAAACGGTGTTTGTCCCGAGCGGGTGGTGGCATGTGGTCATCAATCTGTCCGACACCATAGCTGTCACACAAAACTTTTGCAGTCTAACGAACTTTCCGGTGGTTTGGCATAAGACAGTCAGAGGGAGACCTAAATTGTCCCGAAAATGGCTTTCAGTGCTGAAAGAGAAGTTCCCAGAAATAGCGGCCGTCGCCGAGAGAGTCGATTTGAGTGAAAGCACTGGCGTTGCGTCCGATAGTTCCAGTGACGACAGCAGCAGTAGTTCCAGCTCTGACTCTGAGTGCTGTTCCAGATCTGGTCACTCGGGTTCGGCCACTGATAACGATTCCGGTCAGGAAAGCATCGGAAATAAAAAGCACAGAAGAAAAAGGTTTGACTTTTGATTGTTTTCATTGAAATACTTTAATTGATTGATTGCTTTTATACGACAGACACCGGTCTGTGAGTCGTTCCTACGAAAGTGATAGCAATAGACATCAGAAACACAAGAGTTGATGAAAGTAATGATTAAAAGTGCCATAAATTTTAATAAATATTTAGTATTTAATTAATTTCGCGAAATGTATCCGGAAATGAATGTATAAACTTCTGGAACGCTTTAAAAGTTATATATATATTCAAAATCAAGTAATTTTCATCGTTTGGATCGACATTACTTTCTCGAATCGCTGATTCCCTATAAAGCCATTGGTATTCTTGGCCACCGTTGGCCACTCTATTCAAACAAATTATACTTTTATAATATATTTGTAATGAATTCTTAACAAATAAAACATTTTGACTATAAGACAAACCTTAGTCTCTTATATAATCTTTCAGTATTAATGATGATCTGCTTCTCGATGGCAGCCGTCAACTCATCCAAACCTATCCTCTCAGTGGCCGACACTAGGAATCGATCGCTGTGTTGAAGACTGTGTTTGTCTTCAACCAAATCTACTTTATTGGACACTTCAATGATTGTGTTCCTTAACTTTTCTGGAACTTTGATTTCGTCTAATGTTTTTCCCACGGTCTGTTCGTGCAATTGATGGTTAGGATGACTGACATCGAGTACGTGAACGATAACATCGGCGCAACTGATTTCGCTTAATGTGGTTCGAAATGAACGGATCAAAGAGGTCGGGATCTCAGAGATGAAGCCAATGGTGTCGGTGTACAGCACGCGGAGACTGGAGGGCAGTCTTCCCGCGTGAACCGTCACATCCAATGTGGCGAACAATTGATTCCTCGGCACTAATCTGTTGTCAAATGTGAGCGCTTTGATGAGTGATGTCTTGCCTGAGTTGGTGTAACCGATGACAGCAATCACTGGCATCTGTTTCTTCTCGCGATTCACTCTAAGGATGTCTCGATTTGACTGAATTTTATCCAAAAGTTTGGTTAATTTCAATTCTCTGTCTTTCAGGAGTTGTCTCCGCGTCTCAAAGAGTGTGTCGCCGGAACCGCCGGTCGTTTTCATCCATCCCTGTTGTCTCGTATGACGAGATGTCTCTAAAACACGTAAATTGTTTCTAATGTACGGAATCTCAGCCAAAGCTATCTGTAGTTTGGCTTCTTTGGTGTTCGCCTGATATCTGAAGACATTCAACACAATTGAATATCTGTCATAAATCTGGTGAACAAATCATTCAATGAGTCAATTGTTGGACAACAAGAGTTACGGATTACTGACTCACGTCTACACCTAATTGTGACTCCATTTCTGACATCTGAACCGAATTCAACATATCTATGGAAAACACCACTCCATTGATCCTCGGATTGGACTCCACTTTATTCTTCAAGAGTTCAAAATTTCCGGAACCGAAGACTTTTCGTTTGTTAATGTCTAGCGTTGAGATCATAATAGAGTCAATCACTTTCATTGTGGGCAATGTGTTGACCAAAGCGATGGATTCGCTCATCAGCTGATTGGCGTACAAGACATCCATGTGTTTGGTTCCCCACTTCTGTCGCGGCATAACTAACAGCACCTCTTGTTTCGCACCCAATGTCTGCCAATTGTTTGGAACCAACTCTTCGTATTTCGTGTCTTTCATCACTTTCTCAAACTCCAAGTCATGAGTGGTGTCCGAAGACTTGTCCGAAGACATGGACACTGTTTGCCACACATCGCAACCATATGTCAGTCTCTTTGATCTCATGATGTGTTCAGCAAAAGCACTTCTCGTCCACCGATTCCACAAATGTCTTGACATTTGTCTCAAATAAACCATTGTTTTTAACTCTTAAACAAGTTTTGAATGAATGATAAAAGTTTTCAAAACATGTTTTTTCATATGAAATCTCATAGAAAGCCATGTATTTAGTGATGAAATACACAGAATCTGTCGTTTATTTCCCAATAAAAACATGTTTTGACTGAAAAGTTGACGCAAACTCTCAATACATTTGTCTGTAATAAACATAAAGTCATCTCAAAGTGCTTTCAATTCATATCTTATACTCGTTTCTGAACTTTAATTCAAATGTATTTACATTTAAATCACGTCTCAATCATATCTTCACATGTTTTGCAACGATTGACAACACTTTCACTCAAGTCTTCGCTTCAAATGATTGCTATTTTAAAAACTTTTTGATATTTGTTTGGTTTGAAAGTTAAGCACTTGTTTTGGCACTGATTTCGTTTGAATCGATCGACAAATTGCTATGAATTTAACAAATTTATCCGAAGAAGAGTTTGAATGCATTTCACATCAACTCAAGAGTCGATTGTCTTGTATTGGTTTAGAAGAATATCCATTCAAAGTATACAATATATTGTTGTTTTGCTTTCATTATATGCTAATTAAGTTGTAATAACAGATCCAATGGTATAATGAAATGGTTTCACCGAAATTTCGACTTCCATTCGATGACAATTGTATGGCATTTGCGATCATTAGTACTCCAGATATGTTTGAATTGGCTTTCCTTCCATTCTTGAGGACCCGTCTCTTTGATCACAACTCAAACAATGATCCCATCGATGAGTGTATGAAATATCACTTAAACTCCATTAAATCGGTATTCATTTTGATGTCAATTATAAGCAAATTTGTTGATTTGTTTCATATTTTATTCAAAACAATAGGATTTTAGTGGCATTGATGTGGAGGTGATTCACGACTTTGAGCTCTTTATGCCGAACCGGAGACCGAAAGTGTTGGTTCAGACGGCAGCCCACGTAAGCGGTGCCGCCTTTTACTACAAACCCGATGTGATTGAAGGCATATCGGCGTCGGACCGACTGTTAGGCGTTTGCATTCACCCACGTTTTGGCGGTTGGTTTGCCATCAGAGGGATTGTCGTGTTTACGAGTCTTACCACTGATTCACTTGAGAGAAGACAACCTAAAGATGTGATCCAAGCGTTGGAACTGAAGAAGAAGTTGTTGTATAAGTTTAACATCGATTGGAAAGACTGGTCCTATCGGGACATTATTCCTGTCGTTAAAAAGTATAGCGATTTGCAAATCAAATACTTTTCGCTCAAACCCTGCGATCGCAAAGAATACCTCAATTATTTAATAAATTTACAAAATTAATGTTTAGTTTTAAATACCATTTGTTATCATGTGTTTTGTTATCTCATTTGTTGTTTTCAATTTAGTGATAATTTACATGTTTTTAAGTTATATATTTATAAATCTAATCTCATGTTAATTGATAGTTGAGTGCAAATTGAGTGAAAATATTGTTCACTATAAAGGGGTAGTTTTTACGTTAGAAACT